CCACTGTCGACGTAGTGTATTAGCGGTTAGGTGGACGCTTGGACGACTACAGTAAGTGAATGTTATGCCATGTTCATGTTCCCCGGGTCTTCATGAATGGATACACCCCCCCATCTCCTTCCCAGGTAATGCCGAGTATTGGAACAGGAAAACCAGTCAAGCCAAGTTCAGGGATCCAATAATCGTCAACCATCCCTTGATACCTACCACACGAGGTGGCTATCAAATCGAGTTGCACCCCCATCCTCTCTTTTAAAACCCCATTCCGGCCTCTACTTCAAATTCGCCTTCCCTCTTTCTCCCTCCCATTGATTTATTAATTCTTTCAAATCTCCAATTTCACCGGTCGACGCCTTCTGTCGTTTTTATTCCGGTCTTCATCCTTCTTTCCTTTTCAACCCCAACTCTCTCGCTATTGGGCTTATTCTAGTTTGACTGTAATTCAACAACCACTCACCAGATACTCTCATTTACACAATACAACGCTTCCGTTCCGATTTTCGACTCTTTTTTTCCCTTCTTTTTCTACAACAATTTCTCAATCAACTCCAGTAATTTCGACCCATTACATTGATCCAACAAATTCACAATGAAGTCTGTCGCTCTTCTCTCAGTCTTGGCGGCTGTCGCCTCTGCCACCCCTACTCTCAAGGAGCCTCCCAGCAAGCGTGGATCCCTTCCTACCGTCACTGCTTCAGGCAATGGTTAGTGCTTCAATTCGTCACAATCTAAAAATCAAGTCAATATTAACCTTTTCGTAGCTTTCTGGGCCGGTAACGAGCGTTTCTACCTCCGAGGTATTGACTACCAGCCTGGTGGTGCCTCCGCTAATGAGGATCCTCTGGCCGACCCCAAGATCTGCAAGCGTGATATCAAGTACTTCAAGGAGCTCGGTGTCAACGTTATTCGCGTTTACGCCGTCGACAACAAGGCCGATCACGATGAGTGCATGAAGGCGCTCGACGATGCTGGCATCTACCTCGTTCTCGATGTCAACAACCCCAAGTACTCCATCAACCGTGCCACCCCCGGTCCTTCGTACAACGCCGCCTACATCCAGAGCGTTTTCGCTACTGTCGAGATGTTCGCCCAGTACGAGAACACCCTCGCTTTCTTCTCTGGTAACGAGGTTATGAATGACGAGAAGGACACCGACAAGTCCGCTCCTTACGTCAAGGCCATCACCCGCGATATGCGAAACTACATCAAGGCCCGCAAGCTTCGCAAGATTCCCGTCGGTTACTCTGCTGCCGATGTTGCCTCCAACCGTATGCAGACTGCCCACTACATGAACTGCGGTTCCGACGAGGTCCGATCCGACTTCTTCGCTTTCAACGATTACTCCTGGTGCAACAGTGACTTCAAGACCTCCGGCTGGGATGTCAAGGTCAAGAACTTCACTGACTACGGTATTCCTATCTTGTAAGTGAAACCAACCATGCTTGTTCGATCGCCACTAACCCACTCCAGCCTGTCTGAGTATGGCTGCATTGAGAGCCGTCCCCGTAAGTTTGAGGAAATCAAGCCCATGATGGACTCCGACATGTCCTCTGTCTACTCTGGTGGTCTTATGTACGAGTACTCTCTCGAGGACAACGACTACGGTATTGTCAAGATCAAGGGCAATACCGTTCAGCCTGAGGACGAGTTCGACCTCTTCAAGTCTGCTCTCTCCAAGTACCCTGCTCCCACTGGCGCCGGCGGTGCCGCCAAGGCTTCTCACGGTGTCGAGTGCCCCAAGTCCGAGTCTGTCTGGCAAGTCGACCCCAGCTACCTCCCCGAGATGCCTGCACAGGCCGAGAAGTACATGAAGGACGGTGCTGGCAAGGGTCCTGGTATCAACGGCGACGGTTCTCACTTCGACACTGACAGCGGTACTGCCACCGCCAGTGTTGCCGTTGGCACCTCCACATCCACCGGCGACTCTTCCTCATCCAACTCTGAGGATGACGATGACAGCGGTGCCGCTACCCTCGGCTTCGGTGCTCTCTATGTCACCGGCGCTGCCACTTTCTTCACCCTCTTCGGAACCCTTCTTCTGTAAATAGCAGATTTGCTATGAATTGCTTGCTTTGTTAGTTTAGGGATTGCCGCCAAAGCTATGATTTAGGCCTCCCCGTTGGGTTCATGATAATCACAATAAGATGTTGGTGACGAGCGCTTGATTAGCTGCGCTGGGTATGTCGGGTTCGTATTTTTTCAACAGGAGCATTGGCGTCTAGCCTTGGAAGGGCAGACAAATGATTATAATGCTATCTGGGCGATTATCGCCTTTGTCATTTGAGTTAAAAGAGTTCGGTGCGGAAACACAATCAGTAGACTTTCCTTAAACTAGGTCATGAATTTGCCGATGTCTATGTATGTGTAGTGATTGTGAAATTGTCGTTTTATACGCTGTTCATAGTCGTCAACCAATAGCACGCGTGAGCTCATGTTAGCCGTGGTTAGACTTGACATGAGCCTCGGCATCTCCATCTCTATGCTACTATTGACATGGTTACGTTGCCATTCAAGCTTCCCCATGGTTGGCTGTCTAACACTTGAATTCCTTTGAGTCTCTTACAATTGTGCCTTCTTCATACCATTTATCGTTCCCTCACAATAATCTACAACCACTCACGATTACAATGTCTACCGCTACGCCTCTCCCCGCTTACGCTTCTTATAAGCATATGCTTGTCAGCTCACCAGGACCCTTTGTCGCACATGTTGAGATCAATCGTCCCAAGAAGCTCAATACTTTCTCACAGGAAGTCTGGCTTGAGTTTGGTCACGTGTTCGATCAACTCAGCAATGATTCGGACGTACGCGCTATTGCGGTCAGCGGCGCTGGCGATCGCGCATTTACAGCCGGTCTCGACGTGCAGGCTGCGTCTGGAGACGGAATCCTCTCTGACGCTGCAGGCGATGTCGCGAAGAAGGCCAAGGTGTTGAGGAATCACATCGAAGAGTTCCAAGATTCAATTAGTGCTATGGAGAAATGTGAAAAGCGTAAGTGTCACTCGCAGCAGTTTGGTCAAGAATGATTACTCATAAATGAAATTTGAACATCTACAGCTGTCATTTGCGTTCTTCATGGTATTGCTATTGGCCTTGCAATTGATATTGCATGCTGCGCCGATATCCGCATCTGCGCTTCCACCGTGCGCTTCGCTGTCAAAGAAGTTGACATTGGTATGGCGGCGGACATCGGCACACTCTCTCGCCTTCCCAAGATCGTTGGCTCGACATCGTGGGTCAAGGATGTGTGTCTCACAGCGCGAGACTTTTCTGCGCAAGAGGCGCTGTCAATGGGCTTTGTGAGCCAGGTCCACGAGAACAAACAGGCGGCTGTACAAGCCGCAGTAGCGTTGGCGTCAACGCTTGCTGAGAAGAGCCCCGTGGCAGTTCAAGGAACGAAGGAGCTGCTCAATTACAGTAGAGATCATAGTGTCGCAGAGGGCTTGAGGTATACAAAGGTGTGGAACGCGGCGGCAGTGCAGGGCAGGGACTTTGCCGTGGGATTGACGAGCGGGTTGAAGAAGACGAAGCCTCGGTTCGAGAAGTTGTAGGCATTTCGATAGTCGCGCGTGGCCGGTATTGAGACATAGTAGTTCGTATTATGATAAAGAAGAAGGACGGAACCGACCGAGTGGGTTCTATTCTTATTCCTATTCTGAGCCAGATTCCTCCTCGGGAGGCAGGTTTTCCTTTAGTCGCTGTGCATGTGTTAGCGAATAAGCGGTGTATTCATTGAAAAGTGTACGAACATCTTCAAGCTTGGCCTTGAGCATCGAGACCATGTTTTCTTTGACGACTACGCGTTCGTCGTCGAGATCTTCGATTATGTAGTCATGGTTGGCACTATCGATGCTAACAATGATGGATTTGATGGAGGGATCGCATTCGATAAGAACGCCTGTAATGAAGTTAGATGGATAAGAATAAAGAATAATGCGTATCATAAGGTGAACTAACCTCTGATTGCGCGAGGCATCTTGGCTGTGCGAGGGAGGTCGCGTGGTATGGTGAAGCCAACAATAGTAGAGTCGAGTTATGGATAAGAAAGCTCCCCAGAAAACCTAGTGGAGTTGAAAGGGAGCCTTACATGCATAATGCACAGACCCACTTTGACGATTAGAGTCCATGACATGACATTCCAAATAAATGTTTATTCATCTTGTAAGTCTGCGCCTCAGCAAAGCCACTCTTTGATAAAAGAATTACAATCACAGTCAGCGGGAATGTGTATGATCAAGAATCATGTTGTGAACCAATCTAGAAGCTACTAATGCGAGGTTTATGATGTGGCAAATCAGTCGATTCTATCTAAACGCAGGGCATGCATCGTATTGGCATCATCGTATTCTTTTACAAGCTGTGCGGACCCATGAGTGCATAGCCCAAATCTAGTCTATGGAACTTCCGGGAAGACCTGTCACGTCTCGATTTACACTTTATAGCCACGCTGGTTGAACCTCTGTATGAGGAATCTGGATTGCCAAATATGGGCTGTGTGTAGTAGTAGCAGCAGCAGGTGTCGGGCATTGTATCCCGTTCTCACCGATGCCGCGGTATTATGCAGCCTACCAAACCTCAGTAGATTTTGAATCTAAGCTAACAAGCCACCATGATGCAGTCACCCACCGTGGAGTGATCGGCTACGCGGCCTGCTTCTAAATCTGGGGTGAGGCACGCGAATCAAAGGCAAAAAAAGCAACAAGGTCGAGGCGAGCACAAATACAAATGGTTGCCCTCCCCTTGCGCTTGTACACTCTGATGGTTGCTCTGATGACGACACCCTATCAAAGTCTCTGACCTCACAACTTTGCAACTTATTCGTTATTTAATTCTTGATTCCCCAGGTTTCACAAATAATTATCTAATACCACTGAGAAACCACTTATTTTCAACGATCAATATACATACTTGAGAGGTATATGCAAGTATTAGTCTCTACGACAACCCAAAGGTCCATCTATCGCCACTCTGCCTAAATCACTATCGACTCTGCCCTTGCGATGGCAACTGGGGACTCTAACGATTCCAACGATGCCAATGATGACGGCTTCAACTTCGGACAAGAACCATTCGCCTGGGCTCTCATCCCCTTATTCGTCATCCTCATCCTTGGATTGACAGCAACTGTCATCCAAATCAGACGTCGGCGCCGCCGTCGTGGAAACCAATGGCCCAGCTCAAATCCCCAAACACCCACATATTCGGGACTTCGTGGCGGTAGAACAACAAATCGCGGAGCCCTATGGAATGGCACTAGGTCTCAGGAAGGTCTGAACGAGCTTGGACAGGCGCCGCCACCGTATGATGGCAAGAAGGAGAGGCAGGATCTATTGGAACTGAGAGATCTTGAAGCTGGTGGCAGTCCACCCGAGTATCCTTTTGAACCGCCACCAGCTCTTGTGACGGATGGTCGGAGATCTTGATTATGATCCCTTTATAGTATGTTTTTTGGGCTGGTTGATGTATGGAGTTCTGCGCATCATGGGGAGTAAAATGGATTTGGGACGCGTACGGCAAGGAAGTTAGGAGTTGGATAGTCTTACTGGTAATTGAAATGAATGAATTATACTACCAAACTCGTTGTATCGGGCTCGAACATACTGATATCCGTGAATTGGTATTCAGCATGGCTGATTGCCAAAATAGACATGTCATGTGTAGCACAGACGTCACATGTCTCAGATGACAGAGGTTTCTCGATCGGTCGAGTATCGTGTCTCATCATGCGTTGTATCATAGTTTGACCATGTTGGTCGTCATTGATGAGCAATCTCCTATGCTCCTATATTTAGCCCCAATTGGAACTTACATGTTCTACAATATTGGATTGGCAACAGTAAATCTGTCAAATTGTGAAGAAATATGAAACGTATGGTATGAACGTATGGGCATATGCATCTCACAAGCCATCTGAATCAAGTCCTATACGAGGTCGTCTACAGGTTACACGATTGGCCTCAAGATACCCGGTTGGCTGCAGGGCTCGAGGTCGGTGTTACTGGAGATGTCGTGACGATCTTCCACAAGGTTTCACGGCGTTGATCAAGGCCATAAACTCAGTGCGTCTCAGTGTACAAAGTAACGTGATAGCAACTCGTTGCATGCTGACTAGGCCCATGGCGATAATATCGCTAGCCAGGAACCATAATCAGGCACTCGGCCTATTTGATAGGGTCTGATATTTGTTGTTGTGAGGCCAATCAAGATGGAATGGAGTTTTGATGGCTTGTCGTTGGCTTGGCTTGGCTTGCTGCAAACATCAGGACTACACTACGACGGACAGAGTCATGTTGGATACTCTTAGCTAAACAACCTAACTTCATCTAGAAAGCTGAGGAAACAAGTGAAATCAGGAGAAAAACGAGACAAGCAGTTGATTGTTGTACCAGGCTTGATACTTCAAGGATATACCATGTGTTCTGATGTGTCCTGCATATTGGCCTTCGCCGGGGGAGACCCACCGATGCAGTTTGCACGAAAAGGACCAGATATCCGAATGCGCAGTTCGCCTCGTCTTGATAAAATGTTTGTTTGCAGTGGAACAAAACGCACCGGTACAAGCTCGTAGTGGTTAAGAGGATATATGGGGCGTAACCAAGTATATGGAGCCGGAAGTTTGCCCTGAAGATACGAGAACGGGGAGGCTGGAAGTGCTCGATCGAAGCTGTCCCATTTTAGAATAGCTTTGGATTAGTTGTTTGGAATTTCACTGATGTTACCAAGTACGGAAGAGAAATCCAATTCTTGATGATCTTCAGGGACATGGGAGCTGAATTGAGTTGGTGTTGGAGACGGACATTCTAAAACACCACGTTTAGAACTGACGATCATCTGTGCTGTAGTTTGTCTCTACATGTGTTTTTGAAATTCCACATTGTATCTGTAAGTGAAATCTAGTATCAGGAATGCAATGTTTTACAGGTGAGGACTGTCGGCTCAATCTCTGAGACTTTCAGCCCTACAGCCTACTCATCAAACATGAGTGGAGTAGAGAGTTGATCAGCTTGAGTACGTAACTATTCATTGTAAATCTCTTAAGCGCTGCTCATGGGTAATTGTTCCTTTAACGGCAACAGAGGATAACCTCGTCACATGAGGGTATGCGTGATTTTGCCGAATAATGAGGCTCTCCCGAATGATGTTCCGCCGCATTTCAGGACACGGACGCCCCAGCCGCCAGATTTGAGCCGTGGCGTTGAGCCGAAGATTAATTGGCGAACCAGGGTTTGGGTTGATGATTGACGGAGTGGATCAGATCAAGCGAGGGACGAGGGAAGGATAGAGGCGAGAGGTTGGGGAAAATGGAGCACGATGATGGATTTGTTACTGGGGCCTGATTCGAATGGGAAACCAAAGATGAATCGTCTTGTATCAGATTATCGTGGCAGCCCAACGGTCCGTTTGATACAGGAGTAGAGAGGCTGGTGGTCAGTCGTGGCAAAGCTACTCAGCAACTTTGGAGACCGCTAGTTGTGAATACCTGTTTTCGATAGCCACAGAGGATGGTTATTGCTTATTATTCGGTAGTAACAAAATGTGATGGATGGTGAGAGTTGTCACATCGCATCGCATCACACGCAGGCAGACAGGGTAGGTCAGGATCACGACGAACTGGTCGGGCCTCGCTTTTCTTTTGAGCCTGCAGCAAGCAGTCTCTGTTTCCTGCATGTCCTCATTCTTCTCTCAAGATCGTCCATTGGCAGAGAAACCACGGGCATAGCGTGTTGAGCTAAGTGTGATCCCGGCGGGCCGGCGCTATTGGGTAGGCCCCCCTTCGGCAGAGACAACTCATCACACCCAAGACACTAGCTTGAAAATCTCAAGGGCCCAGCCGCCAACCTAGAACAGGACAGGACAGCAGTTCTTTTGTGTGAATAATGATGGATATGGTTTTTGTAGACATGAGAGAAAGTGGGAAATAATATTAAGAAAAGATATCAAGGTATCAGACTTTAAGGAAAACCCCATCAATTAAGAAAAGATATGAGGTTGATGAGGACATGATGGACCTCTGGACATGATGGACCTCTGGACATGATGGACCTCTAGTCCCACCGCCTGGCTCTCTAAATCGCTGTAATTATAGACTACAACTTAAGTTGGCGCTCCAAGCATTTCACACTTCATGCACCATCGAAAACAATTAAACCTCAATCATAATCTGTTTTAGTGGCTTCAGCAATTGAGTTTGCTCATTACCAAAATTGCCAAAACGGCCAGCCCAGCTTACTCTGTACTTACTGTCATCAACCCGTTTTTTTTCTTCTTTTCCCAGCCTCCAAATCCTATTCCCAGCCTCCTCTATCCCTTGTATCCCCTCGAATACGGTACACCTAAATTGATTGCCCTGTTCCCCTTTCCTAATCAGACCTAGATTTCTGTTTTCCTCCTTCTCTTTTCTGTCCGGTTTTCTGGGATCTTTACTATTTTCCAACAAATCCAACATTGAATATTGCCCATATTCCCTGTTCATAGAGGTAATACTTCCGCTTCCATTTCCACTTTGGATCCCTGTTTGGCGTTGCTGCGGGCAACTTTGTTAGCCCCGTCTTTTTTCTAGCCCCCCGCCAGAACCTGACCTCCTCCTCTCTACCTTACCGGATCCACATCCCCATGAGCCTGGGAGACACTCTTCACACCATTACCATTACCATCGACCACGCCGCACGTCGTCGCATCCCAAACCCTTCTTCCCCCAAATCTCCCCCCTTCTCGAATTTCCCTCGGAAACCTAAAGGAAAGGGCTTTCTGCAGTGAGAGGTCACTATCGAGTTAGCCATAGTGACTTCACTAGGAGGCTCTCTATCTGCCTGCCTGCCTGTCTGTCCTTTGTATAGGATAGGATAGAAAAGGATACATTGTCGGTCAACGCTTCCAACTTTATTTCCTTATTTTTAATCGGGTCGCTTGTGTGTAAGTCTCTCAACTCCATCCTTCTCCGCTTCATGAGTCGATACGACGCTGGTGGCGATTCATAGCCCCATGCCATTGGCCTACACCGTTATTTCTCAGCTCAGTTAAACCTTGGAATCGCGGACATTGACCTCTGTACCCAGACACTCTTTGCTGCGTCTTTGATTTCCGCATGTCTTGCTTGATATCAATCCGTTAATCAACCAACCCCCTCCTCTCCCACCGGTGTTTCTCTGCATCCGATCCGGATCGCAGTCCTGGGAAGAAAGGGCCCCGAAACACCTCCACTTAAGAGCCTCACCAGATTTACGATGGGTGTATCTGATAGAAAATCTCTTCCACTTCCCGCTCCCACCGAAACCGAGACTAATACCACGCCCACCGACCTCACATCAACGGCGGATGTGGTGAACCCCGGCGACGAAAAGTCCTCATACTCCATCCCCGAAGACGGAACTCCCGTCACCATTGCTACCCGTGGACACAAGGCTAGCAAATCTCAGACCTCTTTGCTCATCGAATACTTCGAAGGAGGCAAGTCCACTGTCGGTTCAACAGGCGAGCGCCGTCCCAGCGTCCGTGTCCGCCTCACACCTTCCAAGAGAGGTCGATCTGATCATCACATCCAAGTCACCGAGAGCGCCCGTAACACCTCTGTGACTCGACGGATACCTTTGGGCGATTCTGAGTTTGACGCAGACGACGGTCAAAGCATGGACTCTTACGCCTCCGCCACAGAAGAGTCTAACGTCTCGAGAAATCCAATTGACATTGAGATTGATCGCAGTCATAGACGTAGACGACCAGCCAGCCCTTTGATTCCCTCAGAGACGTACGACGTCAACGCCTCAGAAATCTCCGCCATCCCATCTGACAGCTTCCTTGACGGTACTGGTAACAACACCGACGCCAAGGCAGAAAGCCCAACAGGGACAAGGGATATGTCCACAGCCGCTGGTGCTCACGCAATGGCGAGAGATGCAGCAGATGAGGTTAGAAATCGTAAGAGTAGAACTAGAGATAGGTCAAAGGTTTCCACAACACATTCGTCGAGGGACAAGTCGATATCAGACAGAAAACGTCGACCGAAGAGCAGAACCAGCAGCGTTTCTGAGAGGACGGAGGAACCTATTAAAACCCATCGCCGTCGCTCCAGCAGAAGCCAACAACTGGAATCCAATGTGTCAGGTCTTGACTCGAATGTCTCAGCATCTCACCTGGCCCCTAGCCACCGCACACACGCAGCGCATTCCTCACGATCAGATGTCTCTAAATCATCAATCAACAATCCAAAGCTGCTCGAAACTGTCGAAGACGCTATTCGTCGACTAATATTACCCGAACTAAATGCTCTCAAGCGGGAAACCAGCAAGAGAGAGGGTCGTCGGGACTCCTTCACTTCATCCGGCACATCACTTTCAAAAGACGAGTTGACACCCGACCGCCGGCGGTCGTCAGTTCAACGACATGAATCAAAGGATAGGCGTAACAGAGAGGCTCGTCATGTCCTCGAGGCTAACTCTGATTTGAGCCAAGATTCCGTCGAGGATGATTACCGCCAATATGAGAACGATTCTGTTGCTCCCAAGCGTGACATGGCTAAGGGGGCGGCGGCTAGTGCCGCTGCCGCCGGCTTCGCCTCATCTATTCTATCTGATAGCACACAAGGCGACCGAAAGCCAAGAGAGCGACGCCGCCGGAGAGCCGAATCCACTCATAGCCGTGCTATGAGTCGTGATCCTTATGCGGACCAGTACGAAGATGATCACGTGGTCCCTCAGCCACCAATGCCCCTCATGAGTGAGATCAATCCTTCGGAAATGACCAGGACTTCCATCCGATCTGCCGATACCGACAGACCTCAGTCAGCCAGTGAAGAAATCACCCCCATCAAGAATGTCCCTGGTGGATATGTCTCTGGAAACTCAACTCCTACACCATCAGCGACGCCTTCAAATATCGACAACAGATTATCTACTTCGCACGCCAACGTATCACAAGGTGACCTAAGAGCTCTTCCTAGAGGCCAGAAAGATTACGTGGAGGAGTACGAACCGGACGAGTATGGTCAGAAGCATCCTCTTGAGCGCCAGGGTCAGTATGAGGAAGAAGATATTTCTGACAATGACTACCCCGAAGGTGGATATGACAACTCTTACTTCGCTACTCAGGATGTTCCTCCCCCTCTGAAATATGTCCCTTACCAGGCTGGTGCCCGAGGTCTCAGCCCCATTCCCAGCGTCTCTGGCTATACCGAGGGAGGCAGCGAGTATCATCCTCGCAATTCAAGGAGCATGCACTCCACGAGCCCCGCCTACTATGAGCAGTCTGGGGATCGTCGTGACAGTCGATCAACTCCCTCTCTCAACTCCTTGCAGCAGAGGGAACTTGAACACATGTCTCCTCGCGAGTCTGGCATGAACTACCGCAACTCTACCTATACCGATGACAGCGAGCTGGAAAAGGTTGCAGCTGGACAGGCTGTGCGCGGCATCGCTGCCAACCCGAACGTCGTTCACCCTCCTATGGGCCCAGAATCAGCAGTTGCCTCCTTGATTGACGGATCTATGCTTGATCCTTCCATGTTGAGTGCTGCTTACAGCGATTACCCCGCTCACCGTGATTCAGCACTGTCTTATGACGATCAGTCAAGAACCTACAGCAGCCGCGGTGCTAGCCCCGACAAGCAATATATGGACGGCAGCGAGTTGGAGCCCGAGAGGCATGCCACACCCAGTGCCAGGTCTAACAAGTCTCAAGAATTCACCGAATATGATCTTGACGACCATGGCCGTAAGGTAGCTCGGGCAAGATCTCCCACCGCTTCTGAAGTGGCTATTGCGACTGGCGCTGTCGCAGCTCTTAAAGCCGCACAGGGCAAGAAGCAGTCGGCTACTGAGGAGCCAGAGGAATACCAAGGCGCGGGCGTCTTCCGAAACAAGTCCTTCAAGGAGCGCACATTGGAAGGCCACGAACCTCGCAACACTCCCGCGCATAGCATCGACCGTCTTTCCTACGATGATTCACCCAAGTTGGGCGCGAGTGGTTTGCCTGACTTTAACAATCCCATGCCCGAGTTTGGCTACATAGATGATGATGCTCAAACCAACCCTTCAGTCGTGCAAGACCGTCTAGACGGTGAGCATCACGATGATGTTTCAGAGGGTCGAGTTACGCCTACGCCTCGAAATGTCGCCGGACAGCGTGCTGAGAGTGCTGCCAGCCAAGACCAAGACGAGTGGCAGCGATCCTCTGACGATCGCAAGAGAGACACCCTTATCACCAACCCATACGAGGACACCAGCCCCGTTGCTAACCCAGCCCTGAACGACAACATCATGGCAGCTCGTGGCTTCGGAGCTCCATACCATACCGGCAGCCCTGGCTACAACCCTAAGTATGACGAAGGTTACATGTCCAATGGCAACAATCGAACCCCCGATCTACAGCCCAACACCAAGGCTCTGCACATGTCTCTGCCCGGATCTCCCAATGCTGCTAGCCAGGATCCCTTCTACGCCCCTAAGGACGCCCGTCACATGAGTGGCATGTCTCAAGGCATGGGCTCGCCCTTCTTCGATGCGGCCACTGGCCAAGGAATCGACCGTATTGAGAACAAGGACATCGTGTCTTTGATGCAGCACCTCATGGTTCGCGATGCTCAGCGCTCTGCTCGAGACACCGAGATTGTGGCACTACTTATGAACTCAGCCATCGAGATGCGTTCTTCCATGAACGAACTTAAGAACCTCGTCCAGGACACCAGCGACGATGTCATCTTTGCCGGCAGTGAAAACACCGAGAAGCTCCAAAAGGCTATCAACGGCCCCCGCCCCTACCCTGGTGCCCGATCAGTTCAGAGTATTTCCCAGATCGACACCTTCAACGAGGCTGCCGCAAAGAAGAACCTGTTCAAGCGAGCATTCCAAGGTCTCAGCAACAAGGGTACTAGCGACTTCAAGCGCATCGAGGAGATTCTTATGCAAATTCTCGGCGAGGTCGATGATCTCAAGATCCAGGGCACCGTTCAAGCTCCTTCCACCAGTGGTGGTCGTGGTCCCTCTTTTGACAACTTGCAGCCTGAGGGCCACTTCGAGCAAGACCGAGGCTATGAGCCTGAAGGCAACTCAACAATCACCCCCAGCCAATCGGGACATTTCTCTCTTTCCAACTCCAGAACTCGCCTAGCAGGCGAGCGCAAGTTCTCTGACAATCGAATCAGCACTGTGGCTGAGCATGAGGATGAATACGAGCACGACCACCCTAGCCCATCCGCTGAGCGTAGCAACCCCAACATGCTGACGCCAGAGCGATCGGGCTTCCAGCGCGGCAGCTCAGTTCCCCTTGACACTCCTCCCCAGCCCTCCAACGTTCCCCAGCCAATGAGTAATGAAAACACCCCTCGCACAACAGAGAAGAAGAAGAAGCACAAATCTGGCCTTTCTGGCTGGTTTCCCAAGATTTCTAGATGGTCTGGAACGACGGCTTCCAGCCAAGGCAAGGGCAAAGAGGAAGTCAAGTACGACGACTACCCCCCCTCGCGTTCTGCTTCTAGCCTGGGCTCTTACAACGATGGCGATTACAGCCATGGCCCCTACGATGACCAACTTCCTGCTGGATTTCAGCAACAAGAGCTTCCCACGGCACCCAGTGCTGCCCTGCCCGCACCTGTCCGACGTGAAATCTCACGTACCCCAGGTGATGCTCCTAAGTACAAGGTTCACCGAAACTCCTTGAACCTTCAACACCCCCAGCCTAGACAGGGCCAGACGGAGCGCTTCCGCAATGCCTTGGAATTCTCTGCTCAGGAGTACAATGTCCCGATGACACCCAGATCCGCGGATTGGGGTGGTTCGGTATCCAGCTTCAATCAGGCGGGCCAAAACACCAACCGATACAGCCAGGCATCATCTACAGGTGCTCCCCAGGACCCAGCCTACTGGACAACATCCCCAACTGGTCCTCCTCGACCTCCCAAGGAGCCCATTGAGCCTACCGGCAGCCCTTCAGCTATGTCTCCTCAACAAAGAGGCAGCCGTATCTCGAAGCTGGCAAAGGGCAGCCCTGCACCACACCCAAGCGATGAGAGTGGTTATGCCACAATGAGCGGTACCCATTTCAGCAACTACACAAGCAGTCCCAAGCCTGAGAACCGCAACTTGAACGCTGCTTTGGGTGTTCCTACCCGCCGACCCAGTGGTCCTCGAGCCATGACTCCCAAGAGCCCCGAGGATGAATCTCGCCGACGCAAGCGAGGTAAGTTGAATTATGAACAATACAACAAGATAATTGACTAACTTGAGAAGAAGACACGTTCGGTAGTGTTACCTCCCACAACACGGATGATACGGAGACCTTTTAGAAAGGGGCTCACCGTGGCATCCGACCGTTGCCGGGATATTGATCTTTTGTCGAAGAATGACACGGCGCTTTTGCTTTTCTGGCATAATCTTGCATCCTACCACGCGTAGGCTTTCAATATGTGTCAACTGTATGAAGATTATATGGATATGAAACGGCCTTCAACTGAGTGACTTTTCAATCGGAAGAAGATGAAGAAGCTATAGAGTGAAGGGAAGGGGTGGCCTGCAAAAATAACGGCCAAGCAGTCCGTTGTAGGATTTAATGACGAACCAAGAGGAACTTGAGTTTTGCAAAATATCAAAAAAAAAAAAAGCGAAGGAAGGAAAAAGGTACGCATTTGCATCAGGGGCTATTGCTTCATTTCTTGACGACGACACGACATGGCTTTCCAATTGCAGAGCGATACGTCAATGGTTTGATTTGCGGGCAACATTGTTTTTCTGTTTGGACTGGATATTATGAGCGGAAAGGGGAAGGGCAGGCATACGGTAACTAACAAGCACAAGTCGTTATGAGTGTGCGTGGACATATTTGAAGTTAGATAGGTTTAGTTATTAGTTTTGCGAGATAGATACCACTTACCATATGAGAATCAACTGATATGAGTCCGGACTGGATATCAACTCCAAATATTCTAAGGTTTTATTGTAATTCAAGTGAAGTCGGCAACTATAAATAAACAGAAATACAAATCTTTGACTTAAGTTGACACGCATAGGATCGGCCTCAGTTCAATTTGGATGGATACTGTACTACTGAGACGGATCTTCGCCGGGGAAGCTAGAAGACTCCGGACGCTGTAATGCACAAGATCTTTTAGAGGAGGTTAGAGCCTCCAGGTACATGTCCCTGCCTCCGACGACCGGTGTCAAGGCCCATTGCATTGTAATTTATTTAGTGAGGGACCTTCCCCGGACCCGGCGAATAACGAACAGTCGATATCCAAAATATTGTAATCGTCAGCACTTGACCTCTGAATCGAGAAGTTTTTGAACTTTCCTCCCATTTCGAGTGTTATCTTTCGCAATATATCTTTCATCCTACTATTACGCCGAGGTATTATAACCTCCAAGATTGAGCTTGTGTTCATATTTCCTTCATCACAAGTGCGATTATCCACTGTTACTACAAAAGTTAGTGGTGACGAGTATACTCCAAAAGAGTCGTCGAGATACACAATGGCTACAGACGTGCAAACGAAGGACAGCATCAAAGAAACAGCGTCCCTAAAATTGCAAGAGAGTCAACCGAAAAAGAAGACGAATGATTATAAAGGATTCATTGCGGGAGTCTTTAGCGGTATAGCTAAGCTATCTGGTAAGCAAATATCACATCTACCCGCATCATGACGCAAGCCTGAATATCAACCAGACTGATCTTTTACAATAGTCGGTCATCCTTTCGATACTATCAAAGTCCGGCTACAAACAACAGACCCAAGTCGATTCAAAGGACCTCTCCAATGTGTTACGCAGACTGTTCGCAATGAGGGCTTTCGTGGGCTCTACAAGGGTGCAACGCCGCCTTTGGTAGGATGGATGTTTATGGATTCGGTCATGTTGGGCTCGTTGACTGTTTATCGCCGGCTTCTATCAGAACATGTGTTTAATGTCCAGCCCTTGGGCATAGACGTTACTTCATCTTCACCAGGTACAGCACCAAAAATGCACACAGCGCTCCCGAGTTTCGGCCACGGCATCGCAGGCATATTGGCTGGTGCGACAGTCAGCTTCATCGCTGCGCCAGTTGAGCATATCAAAGCTCGACTACAGATTCAATACGCGGCGCAAAAGTCGGACAGGTTATACGCTGGCCCAATTGATTGTTTGCGAAAGATATACCGACACCACGGTTTTCCAGGCGTCTATCATGGTCTGTCAGCGACACTTCTCTTCAGAGCGTTTTTTTTCTTCTGGTGGGGCAGTTACGATATCATATCACGACAACTACGCGAGAGAACGAGTCTTGGCACACCAGCTGTGAATTTCTGGGCTGGCGGTCTCAGTGCTCAAGTGTTCTGGTTGACGAGTTATCCAAGCGACGTGGTGAAGCAGCGCATCATGACTGATCCCCTGGGCGGAGGGCTCAATGACGGAGTTCAAAAATTTCCTCGATGGAAGGATGCGGCAGTTACAGTGTATAAGGAGCGCAGTTGGAAAGGTTACTGGAGAGGTTTCGTGCCATGTTTCTTGAGGGCGTTCCCGGCGAATGCAATGGCGTTGGTTGCTTTTGAGGGCGTTATGAGATCCTTGCCATGAGTTTGAATAATAATGAGAATGAATATCAAATGATATCTAATGAAGGAAAGATATGGTTGGGCATGACCGGACTTATTCTTCATAAGTCGACAGTTGGCCGAAGTTATATATTTCAATATAGGAGTTGGCATCAATGCTCATTGCCAGAATGACTTCACATTGTTAGTAGCCCCCATATTATCTGAAGAACTACAATTGTGACAGATACGATGCAATAACACATTGAACAGCCTGGCGAATACCTGGTATCGAGGCATGGTTCACAACTCTAGATGGCATCACATTCACAGAGGTTTGTAGGAGACAGTAATATGAACACCACAAAGAGTGCCACACAAATGGCTGGGTCTATTGGCCAAGTCCTTAAAACTTTTGTTCGATCCCGTTTCCCAATTCACCAATCCATTCCTGCGCCGTTGCAATGCATTGCAATTTGTTTCGTTTACTCGTCGTCCTCGTCAGCCTCGTCGTTGACGACGTTGAAGAACTTGAGCTCGTAGACACCGCGAGAAGTGGAGACAACGCGGAGCCAGTCACGGAGCTGCTGCTTCTTGAGGAACTTCTTGGTCCTGTAGTAGAAGGGTCAGTACTTTATTCTCATGTGTTTGCATTTCTCAACTTCGACGAGCGAAGCGAGAACCAAAGACAAAACGTACAGGTACTTGAGGTAACGACCAGAAAGCTCGTTGTGGGCAATGATCTCGATCTTGCCCTCACCCTGCTGCTTGACAACGACGTTGTCGCCAAGGTTGTTGGTGCGGCCCTCGACCTTGATGCGGTCCTGGAGGAACTTCTCGAAGGCAGCGACATCGAAGATCTTGTCGCTGGCAGGCTGAGAAGCATCAATGATGTACTGCGAGGTGTTAGTTAGTGATTGCGGTGGTGGTTTCGGTTTCGAAGGGATCGCATCGAGTAAATCGTTTCGTTTTTTCCCCGTTGATTTGGCTGACTGCGATTCTTTCATTTCGGATAGCGTACCTTCTTGGTCTGCTTCTGGGCCTTGCCCGACTTCTTCTGTTGAAAAATGACTTTAGCCTACTGCATTTTTGTCTCGGCTACCTCTTCTACTGAGGAGGCGCCTAACAGCAAAGCGGTGTCATGTACGTACTGCCTGAGGAGCCATTGCGAATGGATTGGGATTTATGTGGTGTCTGAGAGAGGGACTTGTGGTGTTTCTGGTCGCAAAGAAGTCTAATCCTGCGCTTGAGAGAAAAGAGAGGAAATGAAAGATTGGTGGATTCTTCCGAGGCAATATTCGGGTGGTGGGTGCAAAAATTAGGGCTCTGCGATTAATTGCGGGGCAGCAGTGAGGTCATGTGACCTTTACTTAATGATTATTGAGTACGATGAAAACTATTAAATCATTAGGTAGCAAACGATTGAAGAGCTAAATGTCTATAATTCAAGACTTTTGAAACAGTTATTGGCTGGCATTATGAACGCTGAGTGGATAAAAAGGTGAAGGATGTTGTAAATGGATCTTGAATTTGCCTGAAAGGACAATGTGTTGTTATACGTATCTGAATGAAAAACAATGACTAAATGTATAAGCAGAATTATATAGATAGATATTTGAAAGAATAAGAAAGGAAAGCAGAATACTTCTTTCGGAATTGCCAGGACTTTATGACAATATATAGCACAATTGCTACTGGCCTCTGAGGAGAATTAGACATGGTGTAGTTATATACTGCTGGCTTATACAAATTCTTCGTCTTCTATTGGTCATTGAATTGACATATTGGTAATGTTTCAATCTAGAACTTTTTTTCTTATTTTTCTTTTCTTCGCTAGTAGCAATACCATTTCTGGATATATCTATCGAGTTCCACCTTCAAGATATAGATATATCTCAGCCAACAAGACCTTGATTGACTGCTGGACTCATATATCACATCCTTCATCTTCTTGCTCACTCAGCCCAGAATAGTCCTTTCAAAGGTGAAATCAGGCACTTGATTGATAATAATCACACTGACTCTCGACTATCCACTACAATCACCGAGTTCTGTGATACAGTTTCATTCACTTATATCTCATGATTGACCGTGATATAGTTTCATCTACCGACTTACAATTAACCGTGATATGATTACTCGCTTGGAGCTAAACATCGCCTGTGAATCTCTTTCAGTTTTCTGTCTTGTTTAGCCACTGCAGCATATAATATGCCTGCCACTGCCGTCGCAACTGGCAGTGCTAGGTCAGTCTTTGGTCAACCATCACGCCTCCCCATCCCAACAACAATGAAAAAATTTAACTTCAGACAATACCTTGCAAATTAAAATAACAAACAGTCCGTACAATGTCTCTTTCACGCGCTGAGCTCGAGGCCCTTTCGGCCACTGACGCCCGATGTCCTATCCCTCCTGAGCCTCTCAGGGCAGCTCTCAGCAGCAAGCCCTTTATTCCCACACGCTCTCTCCTCAACATTCGCGACCTCGGCGCTGTTCCTGGCAGCGCTATACACCCTGGGCGTATTTTCCGTTCGGGCATGCTCGATTCTGCAGCCGGTGACCCGGAGGCTATCTCTTGGCTCTCATCTAACATCAAGACGGTCTTTGACCTACGTAGCAAGGAGGAGCGTGCTACGTACCCAAGTCCAAAGGTTCCTGGCGTCAAATTTGTGTTTTGTGAGCGTATCGCTGCTTATCCTCAACCTATACCGGCTGGTTTCACTGTGGACGATGGCAGTGCCGCTTGGAGAGAGCAGCTGATGGCTGTCGTAGCGGCGTACAAGCCCACTACCCGAGCAATTCTCCAGCACGTCAGGGACAAACCGGAAGAGCCATTCCTGTTTCACTGCACTGGTAAGTAGAGCATCAAGCTACGCTGTTTTTGGATTTATGCTAAGTATTCCTTTCATCAACAGCTGGCCGTGACCGCACAGGCGTCGTGGCAGGTCTCCTTCAAACCCTGGCCGGTACAAAGCAAACCGACGTCATTCTGGATTACATGCTGTCGCGTATCGGGATCGAGCCAGCACGCGAGCGGCTGACCCTGTTTGTCAAGGAAACCGTTGGCGTGGAGGATACTGAAGTGCCTGGCTTTTGGAACATGGTCAGTCTGCGTCCGACCTTTTGGAAGGCTTTCGTTGAGGGTGTTAATGCCGAGTACGGAGGATGGGATGGCTACGTAAAGGGTCTTGGATTTTCGACCAGGGACTTTGAGACCATCAAGAAGAATCTGAGAGGGTAGGTTTGGATGTTTGGTCTAGATGGAATGAAGAGATCATCACAAGAAATCACTCTTTTGGTAGTTGAACAATTCAACTTGTCTCAAACTATTAACGGTAATATCTCCAGCCCTGTGATATACGCCATGACATCACCCCCCACGATCCCCTGTTTTTAGAACCAGACCCTCCAAGGACCCTGCATCTTTACAAGGATCCCTCACCCACCTTGCCAATCAGGCTTCTCCCCAAACCACCTAGTGACGTGCCATTGCACCTCCGAAACGTCAAATCCGCCACTACAGAGTCCCCAAGAAGACCATCTCATGTCGATTTTCCAAGTTTTTATTGCTTTCAATTTATTTCAGGGTCTTTTTGACCTGCAGCAAACTACGATGATGCTTATTCCCCAAGGGTCCAAAGCCGACGTAGGCTCCATTGATCAGACCTGCACTATTCTCAAACTGCTGATCAAGTTTCCTTGCTCTTATTTCATCAGTGATCGTAATAGGTGATGCAATAATGTCCTTGGCCGGGATGATGATTGTGATTGAGATGATTTCGTCCATGTCAAAATTTGTATATAATGTCCCGCTGAGGCCAGTCTAAGAAGCAATATCAGAACCATCATCTAAAGAACAACATCTAAACACAACACATCCTTGCAGATAAACACAACTTCTTCTTCATACCCCCAAACAACAAACACTTGCAACCAATAAACATTATACCAAACAAATCACCCAACATGCCTCTTACACGAACTCACCGTCACTCTGCCCCTCGTCGCTCCATCTTCAGCACTCGCCGTCGTGCTCCAGCTCGTTCCAACCGTCACACTGTCACTACCACTACTACTACCACGACAAAGCCCCGTCGTGGAATGTTCGGCGGCGGTTCTACTGCACGACGCACACATGGCGCTGCTCCTGTTCACCACCACCAGCGCCGACCTTCTATGAAGGACAAGGTCAGCGGTGCTCTCCTTAAGATCAAGGGCAGCTTGACTCGCCGTCCTGGCGTCAAGGTATGACACTCACTCGCGATCTTCTTTGATATAATTACTAACGCCGCGATAGGCTGCTGGCACTCGACGCATGCACGGCACTGATGGCCGTGGTGCTCGTCACCGCCGCTACTAAACACGTTCAACAACATGAAATGTAGCGACCATGCAGGGCATTCTGAACTTGGATCACATATACACATGTACGACTATGATAGCGTTGATACCCTCTAGTGAGAGTTGAGAGAAGAATTGTATAATTTACTATACCCATCACAAATAACTTGTCCTATGCCATGTCCGTCGCCAGCGACTTATCTAGTACAACCTCGTGATCATGCTTGACTGCTCTGAATCCTCGATCCTGTGTCTGTCCATCTCGATTCACTATGAAAAATGGCCTTCTTTGACAAGTGCTATTGCTTTCCAGCCTGTGTTTGCCCACTGGAGGTCATATCCCCCGTTCCATATAAAAGATAATTATGAATTTGAGTGTCTCAGCCATCGTTTAGTGATCCCAAAACCTCACTCATCAATGCAGCTCGTCTACATCATGGGGAGAAGATCCTGCTGGGCGATGAGGTGGGGCCAAGCGTATATCCCTGTGTAGCTTGACCTTGGTTTGTGATGGGTATCTGGTCGTCGATGCTGAAGAACTTCGCCGGTGATGCCCTCCATCATATGCCGGGTTTGCTAGCTCGTCGATGTTGGCGATAGCTAGACGGGTCAAACTCAACCTGTTTCTCTCACACGGGCTCAAAGAAGGGCTCTTGTCAACGTAACCTGCATTTACTTCACCTGGGCAGTCGCCACCAGCCCTGGAGGCTTGGTCATGAGCGTACCGTCGCAATTTACTTTCCAAATCTTCTAGAGTTTCCTTGCTAGGCGATGGGTGCTTCTTAGTCCTCTTAATACCGAAAGAAGTAAAACCTGTCGTTGTTTGCTCCCAAGCCCGCCGAGGTTGACTGACCGAGTCGGCTGCGGCTCCCTCGCTTGGATTGCCAACGTTAAATCCAGAATGGCTGTCTAGAGCCGGCGTCTCTTTGTCAAACTTCAACGGTGGGTAGCTCAACTTGTTAGCAAGTCGCCTCCGGGAAGGACTCATGCTATCGGCTGTCGAGATGCACTCGTCGCTCGAAACAGAGGCTCGTTCAACTATTATCCGAGGCGTCGAGGAACCAACCGGCGTACTGTTCAAGAACCTATCTTCAATGTTGTTGTCGAATTCCTTCTCAGACTCGAATGGGCTACGTGAAAGGACGAGCAGTCCTCCTTCCTCCTTCTCTGGGACAGCCATCAGCCTATGCTCGAAGGTTGTTGGGGTGTGCCATCTATCACGTTCAGAGTACGGATCTTCGATAGGCTTTCCGCTCCTAAGAGATTTTCCATCATCAGCTAGTGGTTTTCGGTTCACCCGACCCCCTACAATTCGCTGCACTTTTCGCTTGTTGAGGTTATCCCCTTCATTCAGGCGGATCTCAATGTTACTTATTGGAGACATATTATCAGGTGAGACAGGCGAGGGATCAAACTCATGCGTGTCGAGCCTTGTGACTTCTGCGTCATCGAAGGCGGATTTGTACTGACACCCCTTCTCTTGAGATGTGGCTTTCGGATGGAATCTATCCCAGGCATTTGAGACTTTAGCAAGTACTTTTGATGGTACCATACGGGTAAGTCTTGAGCTTGAAGAGTTGGTCCGCTGTGGTATTGACTTAAGAGCATCAGTTGCGGCTAGCATGGCAACAAGTTTTCCGTTGATAGCGTCGCCGTTAGCACATGATTCCCCGATAGAAGGTGTGCTTAGGCCCTCTGTAACACGGTTTCTGACGTTTCCATCAACAACAGTAAGGGCCACGGGCGCCGTGATCTTGTAGCTGTTTGTGGGATGGAACTTTAAAGGATCAAGAGACAGTTGTCGCTTCAGGTTTGTGCTTGTGCGTCTTTGGGATCGGTCTTTGCGTATTCGAGTAGTGGCAGCCCGTTTTGGAACCTTTCCTGGACTTCTTTGTGGGAATTTATCCACCCGTGGCCTCTGGGGTAACTTTCCAGATGGGTTAGGCGGTGTTTCGAGAGGTGAAGGGAGATTGAGAGGCGAAATTGCTGCTTCGTCCGCCTGAAAAAGCGAGATCTCTGGTGTATTGGCTCGGCGCTTTTTAAGAGAAGCATCTTCGTCGCAGTTCTCTGGACAGTCAAGAGTGGAATCGTCTAGCAACCAACTTGCCATTTCTTCTGCAGTCTGGGGTTTCGCCATCGCTCTCTTTCGTGAGGTGCGCTTTGTATTACCATCAGAACTTAGATCAGGTGCTATGTAGTAGTTAGAGAAAAGGGGGGCTGTCATGGAACAGATTTGAAATAAACATACTCAGTTTCTTGAACAGTGATGTATTGGCTGCGTTTTTCTGCGGGCGTGACCCTAGCGTCGATAAGATGTTCCTGTTTCTCCTTTTTCCGTATGTGATAGTCCTAGTCATCCTTGACGTCTTGGATGACAATGAATAGAAATATTGTAGACGAGGTGAACGAGTGCTTGGAGTCGACGGTGGCTTGTAAATGAGTGACTGTGTTCGATTCAGCGCACCTGATCGGGGCGACGCAAAATTGAAAGAACTAATCGGTGGACGGTCGAGAGCGAAGGCGCTCAGAATAGGTATCTGGTGATAAATTGGGATTTTTGTTCAGTATTTAGTCACCAGAGCTCTTCCATTTCGCAGCCAAAAAAAGACCTTTCAGATCCAAGTATAAGAAGGGGTGATGACTTGGTAAGCCGTTGAAGGTGAAGATTCAATACGGGTAAGTCGAAAAGACAAGCAGGTGCTCAAAAATGTTCCTAGTATGCGCTAGAATCGTTGTTGGATTATCAGATTAGCGGACAGAAAGGTAAGATACCTAGACAGTGATGGAGATTTGAGGAAGGCACGTCCAGTGTAGTTAAGATGCGATATCGGACGAAACCTCCATCAGTGCCTGCCACTGCCAGCAACAATATCAAAAAATCTCACCTGATAAGCAATGCCTGAATACCTGACATATACAGTGAATCGAAGCCGAGATCAAGTGACAAGCATCGGCAGCTGAGAAAAGAATGAGAAAGAACTTGTAGTTAATAGCAAACTCCTCAATTTCATTACATCTATACGCAGCACAAACACACGATTATCGTCCTACCTTCAGACTTATAACACCAAGACGCCACTTCGCTCTTTTGTAACCTCCATCCCAATATGAATTTCGCCCCATGGTTTCACTGCAGATTATGTTCCAGATGCGATTCGTTACTACAGTCACTCAACTGCCACGCTTCCCCTGGCATCTTGTATACTAGCTCGTTGCATTTTTAACAGACTCATGTTAATAGATAGTCGAAGCAAACAGGCAAGGGATATGAGAATATAGTCTGTAATCACCGGACTCCATACCTGCGACTCACCACGTTCTAAATTCACTATTACATTAACAATAAAAACTATTTGATAGATCTTTTTCTAATTGCTATGTTGTCTTTGACCTCCTAGACTGGCGTCTAAGTACGATTCCTACCCTAAGGTTTGTCAATTCAACTTGCTGTGTATAAGAAGGATGTAGCTAACCTCCCAGGCATAACAATACTCGACACAAGTGCAAACTTCAGAATGTGGAAATTGTAGCTTGAGACAATCCACGTCTCGATACTTGTGCTACACAGTAAACTTGCGTTGACGACGCGACCCGAGACCAGCAATGCGAGCTTTTAGACAACAAGCTCTTCCCAACCAAGCTTTTTGAACATCGCCAAATTGCAACAGCAACCCGAGACAGTGTCTCGAGATGTGTAGCGCGAGTTGAAAACTCTTGTTTTTGAGACAGTCACAATTGCTTGCTTCGTTGCCGTTGTTTGAAGCACGTGGTAGCACAGCCACCCAATATACGTGGCGTAATGACGATTTGCATTGTGGCGTGGTTTTTCCATCATAAGCTTGCGGAACATCCAAAAATTTCCAATTCAACGAAACGGCCAATTCTTATAGAACAACAAGGGGGCGCAATTACAGTGAAGCCCATATCGAGAGACGCAATGCTTTGATTATGAATCTGGACGGTTTCCCGCATATTTACAATCACACAAACATACTGCCCTAACTCCGAAAGCTCCGATCAGTTACGAGTTATTATCGCCTCTGACCCGACCCAAACCGATCACGAGGTTTTCCACGACGTTCTGTTTGATCGCAACTCGAGGCATTGACATTTTGTGTGAACAGACACAAAATCTTTTCTTCTAGTTGAAGCCATGTTAAGACAGCCATTTCGCGGCGTGCACGCGCCAGCACGAGCTTTTGGCCAGTCAGCTCGACAGGCAGCCTGGAATGGCGCATGGGCAAGGCATTTCACGTCGCAGTCAGGAAACCAAACTGGGCGTCAGATTTGGAGATGGAAGACCGGGGCCCTCCCCTGGGAAGGCATGATGGCCCGTCTAAGGAACACCCGCTTTACACCCGGAACCACAACAACGCCAAGCATGCTCCAAGGTGTGTTGAGGCGTGGATTTCGATTCACAACGAAGCGCAAGACGAACAAAGGGCCGACCGTTGGCAAAACCGATGAAGCCAAGGGCCTCAGTGCCAGACTTAGGAAACTCACAAAGGAATATGGCTGGGTGACCGTTGGCGTTTACCTTGGACTGTCTGTTCTGGACTTTCCTTTCTGCTTCCTGTTTGTCAGGATGGTTGGACCTGAGAAGATTGGTAAGATACTGCCGCGGCCTCAACCATATCCGTCGATATGACTGTGCGGGTCTTCTTCGTTGCCAAACCGATTGCTAACGTGTGCCGCTGGCGGGGTTAGGTGAGGTCGAGCATCGTGTGATGTCAACGGTCAAGCAGATGATCCCCGATTCTGTTCGGGAAGCTTGGCACACTTACTGGCAGTCTTTCCGGAAGGCTGAGGCCAAGGCCTTGGGCGATGACGAAATTAGTGACAAGATGGAGATGGCTACCTGGGGGGTTGAGAAGGCTCAGGAGCGCAATCGCGTCGATGCTAGTAAGTGCAAACCACACACCTTTCCCCTGGGCAGAAGGAGAGAATGCTCTTGTTCACTCCTCCTATGGGGGTGGGAGACCGACCGCTGGGTCAGTTGGTGAGAAAGGCTAACGACTC